AAGGATGAACAGAAACTGGAAATCTTCGACCAATACTGTCTGAGGAGCATCCTTCGAGTGAAGCACACCGACTTTGTCTCAAATGAGACAGTCCGTACTCGCTGTGATAAAATCACAAGGATATCCCAGGCCATTCAGGAAAGACGGCTGATGTGGTTTGCACACGTTCTTCGTCATCCACCTCAAGAGCTCAGTGCTACTGCCCTCGACTTGAAACCGTTGCCTAATTGGAAACGTCGAAGAGGGGTTCAACTCAAAACCTGGCCCGACTCAGTCCGTCAGGACATGAAAGTAGTCCTCGGACCTTCAGTATTCGGTCTCCGGCGATTGCGAAGAGAATGGGTCTAACTGTCCAGGTCTGCGACCACGGATCCTCGCGCGTGGAGAAGCACCATATGGGACATAATTGAGGCCGGCTAGATCAGTCATGGTCGTAGCCAAACAAGTACAAGTAGAAGACCGACTGGACGAACAACTCTTGATTACGGAGAAATATGCGTAAAGCTAGATTAGCAGTGGCACTGGTGTGGGTTTTAAGTGCAGGTTAACCTCCCTTATCAGTTGCACAACATCAGAGGGAATCGCTCATTTGCTACTCTCACCCCTGCCCCCTCTCTGCCGGCAGGATAGGGAAGTAGGAGCCCCACCCCACCTGCCTCCCGTAATACAGGTGGCTTGGTGCCTAGCTCTCGTGTTCATGAAACGTTAATTGACATTCTGAAATAGGATATTCTTTAGAAAGGATCATCTAAGTGATGTTGTAGGGAGGTAGAGATGCGGGTTATTTTGAAAATATAATTCCAAAATTTGCGGCAAAAAACGTCCGCCAGTCAGTGGCTGAACAACATTATTACAAATCGTCCTTGAATGATTTGCGGAATTTCGACCAAATTGGATTCCTAGCAAAACAGTGCTAGCGTCATGCGCCAATGACCTTATTGTTGTAGTTCGAATAAACAAAGATAGGTAAAAATCGGTTTTCAATGGCTGCAATAGTCCAACCGGTGTAGATATAAGAAATTTACATGCGAACGGACAGCAGGAAAAGTGGCGACCCAGTTTCAAAAGCCCGCTATGTGAAGGAATACCGAAAACCAAGTAGCATAACAGACGGTCTTGCGCAATATTACAGGGAGCGTACATGTTCCCGCATCCTAACGCTAAAACAAAACATAACCCACACTTCAACCCTAAACTAACATTGGCACCTACCAGAGAGGCAAGACAAGATTATGTTAAAGGTTACATGGATATGACGGATAATGAGGTGCTCCTTTTCAGCTATAAGAACATTCTGGCCGGCCGTTATAGCAATTGTCCGGGGAGCTTTTGAAAAAAAGCTCAAGTCTACTATCACTGAAACCTTATCCACGTTAAAGTAACCGTTTCAACACCACCACCATTACGCCGTGGAACACAGGGTGGACATCGACGGTCGACCGTCACCTACAAGACCACACATCACGTCTAGGTTTCAATGTATACACAGGTTGAAGGCAGATGCACAAAAAGAGGTGGAATAAACCTTGAAATTAGTAACGACTTCCCACATGTCTGTCTCTACCACTCCTACTTGGCTGTTCCTAGCCGGCTTGCACGGCCGACGTTTATCATTTCCAAGCACACGCCCAGATAGTACGTCTGAATGCGTAAGACAAACGGGCGACAAACGCGTCCGGAGGTACTGCCATTCTCCTCAAAGACTGCAAGTGGATGCAGACAGGGCGGGCGAACACAGACACAGGAAATTCCATTCACGCGCGCGTCTACTTGGGGATACAACAACAGTTGATGAGACGGAGGCCGTAGACAAATGAATGCACGTAGGGACTGGTCGCAGTGAAAAACGATTAACGCGTTTGATTGGTCAATCGAGGGATAGACTAACAGGGGCAGACAGGATGGGCAGTGCGTATACGAGCATATTTCTCAGCCATAGCACAGGAAGAACACTTACTAGACAGCCAGCGAGACACAATACGACAGCCCTGGACCAATTAACTATAGCGAAAGGCGGAGCAATAAAAAAGCAGTCTCCCTGGTAGACCAGAATTCAGAAACCTGAAGTTGCTCACCAGAACTGAAGCCGACATTACGAAGAGCCTAGTCGGCTCTCCATTCCTAAAGCGGTCAATACCGAAAATCTAACAGAATTTTAAATGACTGGCCGAGCAAGTCGGCCAAGATCTGATCGATTTTCTTCTTTTCTGTCGCATGTAATTGACTTTCACGAGGTAGCGGCGAAGGCTCGGATCTCAGTAATGCTGCTGGTTCTTCGGGCGGTCGAAATCGGTAAACCGGTAATCTGCAGCTTGTTAAGGATTTTTAAATGCCCCTGGAATAAACTTATCGATAAAAACACCCCAAATTCGGTGTGAAATTTGATACGAACAGGTGAGCTAGAATCCCCTAGCTTCGAGGGAGTGAAGGCGTAATATTTGTACGCTGGCAACGGGCAGTCAGCGCTATATAAACAATGAGTGAGTGAGAAGAGGGTGGGGTCGACGACTCGGCGTATTTCTCTCATCGCTATAAACAATCTAACGCGCTTGAAGCTCTCAGGATATGCTATAAACTGTGGCTCGGAAGATTGACAACAGATAACGCTGACCGTGTGGTCGGTGCAGTGTTTTTTCTTGTGTGGAGTGCCTGACCGGCGGACTGAGAGTCAGGTTGCAATGGCTCTTT